AGATCATCCTTTCATTTGTTTGGATAGAATTTTTAATTTAGGCAAGGTAAAGTAAGGGAAATTGAGTATTCCCTTGAAATTGAGTATTCCCTTCCTTTCCCTTGAAAGTTAAATTTTTTAGTACCCCAATTTGTGGGGGAAAGCTAGGGAGAGGAAAGTCATAAAAATTTGCATAATGTGGTGGAAAATGCATGCATCTATAAGTTTGCATTAGTGGCTGAAAATGCTAGGGAAATGAAATAAAATGATTTGGGTCTTTCTTGAATGAGTCCTATGGTTTTAGTCTCCTTTCGACGAGTTGAACTATACATCCAAAACACACGATCGTATCTTATCCATTCTAATTTAAATGATGGATTAGTTTGGTAGTTCATTTCTATTTCAAAAGGTACTTTTTGTTTTCGAGTTTGGGAGGCCGAGTGAACTTTGCATAATTTGTGACTAAGTTAGACCTTGAGTATCATTGCAGGATAATAGGCACTTTGTTTCCACAGGTCAAGGATTAATTGTAAATTTGGAACAGGGAATTTGTCACTGAGAATCCATGTTAGCTCTTTATATGCTTTAATACTTTAGATCTTGATATGATCTATGAAATGGAGATTTTCCATGGTGGTTCAATCTGGATGTGCATAACGTTATTCATCCAAGCTGCTACGCCTTTTTGCAATTGATTCTTGGACTGCAACATTGCATTTTTCTTCTATATGCCTCATGTTTTACATGGGCCATGATTCAACAATTATTTTTCATTTGCTGCGAAATCCATGAGCTACTCCTTTTATGGATGTCAGTTGCACTACTTGGTTAGATTTCAGCTGAAGCTTCTTTGACGGTTAAAGCACAAAATAATTATGGTTCTTTTACTGTTTATTGTTTAGTGTTCTAGCTTTTATGAGAGTTTGGAATTCCATCTGTACTTCATACTGGATTAATTACCCAGGAGTTTCTAGATTTTGTTACGTTTGAAGTTGCCACCATATTCTTGAATTAAGTAATTGGAATTTATTCACTTTGACCTTATAATAAATCTTGTATATGTGGATAAATTGAATTTTGATGTGAACTTGTTTGGAACATGATGTAAACTTGGAGAATAATCACTGAAATAGCCTGATGTGAGCTTTATTTTATGGCAAAGCAACAATACAACCGATAAAGATGTCTTCGTACTTTGTAATGCAATTGTTTGAATAACAAAGCATTCAATTTTCTTGCAGTCGAGCAATGGGAGATGCTGCTGCTGCAATCAATTATTTTGAGGAGAGTGTCGAGTTTCTTATAAAATTGCTAGCGGATGATCTAGAGGTTTGTTGCACCTTAAACTTTACTTGTCCCCATGTATTTTTCAATAATGATGTGACGGTGATCAAATTTCGACATTCTTCAGATAACACATACTCTGTCTGTTTCACTTAATAAAATTGGAGATCTTAAATATTACAATGGAGATCTGCAAGGTGCGAGGTCTTACTATTTGCGCTCATTGGGCATCTGACGTGATGTCGTCAAGAACCATCCCGGTGTTGCTTCTGAGGTTAGCAACTTGTTTTTTCTTTTCCTTCATGTGTACTTTCCCTCTTTCTGTTTTGGTTGGCCCAGTGTTAACATCGTAGTGTCCATTTATTTGTGTGATAGCACCCGAGAAACGCGGTTGCTTTTCTAATGAGGATGATGTTGCTTAGATACGGGTATATGTTCCTTGAAGGGTCATATTCTCGTACTTTCCCTGGCTAAAGTTGCAGATGTGGATAGGACACTGGGAAAAGAGCATGAGGCTGTTGGTGGATTTGAAGAAGCCATAAAGTTGTTAGAATCGTTGTCCCTGAAATCCGCAGAAGCGGGTCTTGAACCCCGGGTAAGGTCGCTTCGAAGCTAATAAATCTATGATCTGTGTGATTTCGTTCTCATGTTTTCGCTTGCAGCGCCTTTCCGTGCTTGCATTCCTCAAAACTCAACTTGAAGAGAAACAATCCGAGGCAACTGCAGGTCCAATGACAACATAACGGGAAACTTGCCGCGAATCGAAATAAAGGAGCATGTTTCTGTACATACACGAGCTCCGGTTTACCCAGTTAACGAGCTCGGCTGGACTTGGGGAAAAAGATGATCGTTCTTTTTAAATGTTTTGTTAGATCTTGTGAATAAGTATAGTAATATGACAATAAAAGATGAATATCATAGTTTCATACAACTTTATTAAATGCGTAATGGTCAGATTTGATATAATTTACTTAAGATAGGTTCCTTGTGGTTTAATTGTAAAAGAACAATTGTTAATCGAGAGTCCTAAAATATCACTGATTCTTAATTTTTAAAACAATTACCCATATATTATCTTAATGGGTAAACTATTCCGAATACCACTGAACTTTGTTTACGGACTTGTTTATACTATTGAACTTTTAATTTTGTCAATTATAATATTGATCTTTAGTTTTACATTCAATTGTGTCACTTTGCCGTTAAGTCACTAACGGGACAAAAAAATGATTAAAGGTTGCTGATATGGTATGTAACACCAAAATGATGACGTTTTGGTATGGTTGTTTTGATGTTTAAAACGATGTCGTATTAAACATTAAACTTTTGGCGTGTATCAATTTTGTCATTGAACTTTTAAACAATTTTCTTTTTTACCACTACACTTTATGGTTGTCGTCTAGTCATGCGCCATCATTCACCGGTCATATGTCATGACAAGATCGCTACCAATGTTCGTATTTCACTCATTTTTCTTCTCCTAAGATTGGTTTTTCATGAAACCCACTCAAAATCGACAAAAATCCATTTAAAAGTTTAATGTATTAATACTTTGATCTCTTTTAATAAGTGACGATGAGACTAGTTTTGAGGTATGTTGTTTGTTTTCTAGAAATAATGCTTATCACCATTCATATTTTTTTAACAAACAACTCAAATCCCGTAAATCTAATAAAGTCTCTAAATATCGAAAAAATTAGATTTTTGTGTTTACTTTTGTCGATTTAGAGTGAGTTTTATGGAAAACTAATCATATGAGAAGATTGGGGAGTCAAATACAAAAATTTTGGAATTAATTTTGCTGCGAAAGATGATCGGTGATTGGTGGTGATTCGCTATCGGCGACTGTCGAAAAAATAGAGGTAAAAAAGAAAAATGATTAAAAGTTAAGGGGCATAATCGATTCATCCTTAAAATTTAGTGTCTAAAACGGCATCGTTTTAGGCATCAGAACAACCACACCAAAACGACGTTGTTTTGGTGTGGCATGACATATCAACAACCGTTAATCATGTCATCGTCCCGTTACAGAACGACAGAATGACATAATTGAGTGTAAAACTAAAATTCAGTATTATAACTGATAAAATTAAAAATATAATGGTATAAAGGATTCAATAGATAAAATTTAATGGTATATCGTGTAGTTTACCTTATTTTAATTTGATCTTAAGAGAATTAACTCCTTATATTTAAATATTTTTATTAATTTAATTTCTGTCTATTCATCATTCAAAATGTCCATATCTTGCTGCAATGCGTGGAGGAGTTTGACCAACTGTATTTGAGTACAACTTTTAGACACAATTATTGTCGAACTGTATTTCTCCAACATAATTCTTCTCTATACCAATGTTAAATTTATTCTATATTTATAAAGAAAAATAAAATTAATCATCAGAACTTTTTATTTTATATGAATTTTTAACTTAATCCCCAAATAATTTTCAACAATTATAATTATAATAAAATTCGTCTTAATTACCGATTAGAATTTAAGTGAATATGTAACAATCTTTGTAACATTCATCTTAGGCTTAGACATAAATTGAGTTGAAAATGCAACATTAAGGGGTCAGAGCATAACAAAATTTAATCAGAATTTTAATTAATATACAATCCATCCATCCATTGCACACAAAGACCAAATTATAAACACATCAAAGTGTCAAATCATTTATAAAAAATTAACAAATTCTTTCTATAAAACAATTCAAATCAGAAATTAAACTCATTTGTACCATTCAAAGAATATAAACAAAGTCAAACTCAATAGAAAAAACAAACAAACGCTGTCTAATAGAAATATACAATTAACAACATTGGAGGACTAAATTGAGACAAAAAAATATTGATTTTAAAAAATAGGATGCAATTTATGATGATTAGAAAGCCTTTACAATTCAAACTATACATCAAAATAGGACCATAATATAATTTTTATACCGAATGATTTTACAAATAGTGATGGATCGATGGGGCTGGCCGAGATTTTGTTCTCTTTGAATTCTACTGATAATTTATTTCCACCTCTTAAAATGTTACAAGTCTGTCCTTGCAAATGCACTTACTAAAGAGGGTCTTAGTCATTGTTTCAAGTTTTCTAACAGGTGTGGTGTTGGTTCGCAAGCTTGTTGACATATATGAACTGAGGGGGACCGATGGGAGCAATTCCCTTAAAAATTTAAAATTACCATATATTTTAGATTTTTTTCTATGTATTTTATATTGGAAATCTGTTTTTGTCCCTTAAAATTTTATAAGTTCATTTATTTCAAAATTTTTATAAGTTTACCATCAGGGATGGAGCAAGGATTTTAGTTCAAGGGGAGCAAAGTAAAATTAACAATAGAAATAGGGGACAAAATCTAAATAAATCAAAATTTAAAGTCCTAAATAGATAATTATTCCAATATTCTTTAATGGTAAAAAAATTTGAGGGCAGTGGGCCCCAATATTCAATGTGCCTCCGTCGTTGTTTACCCTATAATATAAAATCCTGCGTCCGTCCAGCTGTGGGGGGAGTTATCTATGATCAGTGGACTGTTTGTTCTGGTTTGTTTTGCTGCTTTTCTTTGTTGTTTAGTACATGTCATTGAAGCCTTGCTATGGAAGTTGAACCTTTTGGCTTTTTCTTTCTCATAAACTCCTTATTTTATTATTCAATTAAAACATAAAAGGTACACTAAAAAAGACATCACCTTAGAAAGCACCATAATATAATCAATACCAAATCAAGCCTTTATTTTACTATTACAATTACAATTACTATTACTATTACTATTTAGTAGTGCATTCAAAGCAACATTATTACCATTTAATTTGGACAGCCGAATAACCAGGAGAGTAGGAGATCAAATATTGAGAGCTGGGTTGAGTGCTGCCCTCATAAGTGGCGTAACGCTGCTTGGATCGATGTTAGCTACTGTCGTGTTCCGATATTTATTCACAGCTTCAGGATTCGAATCGGATGTGTCCAGAAGTGATTGGTAAAAATTCCAATCAATTTTTTCATCCGTTTCAGTAATATCAATATAAACCTATAGTTCACAAAGGTTTGATTTATATGAAAATCAGTAGTGAGTTCAGTGCGACCGGTATAAAAAGACATAATGTCAAAATTAGCTCTAATATTTATCAAAATGGTTACTTAGGCCCCTATTCTTTTTTTTTTCTTTCTTTTTGAGCAGTTTGGCTCCAAAAGGTTAATTTTGGCAGGGACGTAGATAAGATCAAATGGTGAGGGGAAAAATTGTTTTATATATAGAACAATAAAGTGTTAAATACAAAAATCTAAAAATTGGGAGGGCCAAAGACCTTATTTGATTACTATTTAAACTAAAAAGGACCTAAGATACTATTATACCAAACATTTTGGGAGGGACAAAGGCCTTATTCGATTAATATTTAAATTAAAAAGGACCTAAAATACTATTATACCAAAAATTTCGGGAGTGGCAACAACCCTCCTAGGCACTGTAGCTCTGTCCTTTATTTCAGGAAAAAAGGTGCCTAACGTTTGATCGAACAACCAATTTGGCCCTTATTTTTTTTAAAGTATTTTAGCTCTTAACATTTTATTTTAGGGTAAAAAAGATCCTATTTTGGAGTGTTAACAGTTTGTTAACCAACGGTTTCCATCAATAAAGATACCTTTATCCCAAAATGAAACGTTAAGAGTCAAAATACCGCAAAAAAAAGAATCAAAGTGATTATTTAATTAAACATTAAGATATTTTTTGACATCATGAAAAGAAAAAGGAATAAATTGAATGGATACATACCATATTGTCTTTATCTTTCATATTGCTCCAGGCAACAACCCACCTAATATTCTTTTTGATAGTATATGCAACCCCACCTTTAGAATCTCCAGTTTGGGAATCAGCTTGGTGCTTAATTTTCTCAGACATTTGCGCTGGAATAACAAGCGGCCGGTTTGCAAATCCATACCAATCAACTTCGTCGTATAGGCTGAGGTTTTCATTGGTGCAGTTATCGATTGTCACATCTGTGTATATTGCAGGACCAGGCTTACCCATCGCCTTTGTTTGATGTTTTCGAGTCTGTTGATTTGGTTGTGTTGTGCTTTGAGTTCTATACTGAACACCCATATTTATAGTAGTCTGTTCCCACAAGAAATAGCTATAATTATATATATTTTTTTTATTTTTCAGAGGCACAATTTATTACCAAAAACATCTCTTTCCACATGATGGTAACATGAACCACCACCAGACAATTTCTTGTTAGAAGGGTTGGTAAATTGGACGGGTCTATTCACACCTGTTTCGGCAACCTTTAATCAATTATTATGGGTAAAATACATAAATGATCTCTTGATTATAAGTCGCTGTTTTATTGAGTCATTTGATGATTAAAAATTATAAAATAATCCCTCAACTATATGATATTTTTTATTGAGTCCGCTAACTATTAAAAGTTACAAAATAGTTGCCCGACTATATGACACAGTTTTATTGAGTCCCCTGACAGTGTTATCATTATGACGTGCGATCCACATGTTTGATTTCACTTTTAAAGATAAAGTACACCGTATACAACTGAACTTTAGGCCGTGTATCATTTATATCATTAAACTTTTACTTGCGCCAACTATAGCAGTAAACATTGGTTTTGACTTCAATTATACTAATGAGAACATTTTGATACCTACATTGCCACAAAAGGAGAATGGTCATGGGCAACAATTCACTGTGTTAAAAAAATTCAGTGCTAAAAAGTAAATTGTTTAAAAGTTTAGTGATAAAATTGATGCACTCCCATAGTTTAATGTCTAAAACGAAATCATTTTAGGCATCGATAGCTGCATCAACTGATGTCGTTTTGTCCACATAATCACATTCTTTGGATTTCATAGGTCCGATGGTATAAATGAAGTCAAAAGTAAAGTTTCATGCTATAATTGAAGCAACTAAAAGTTTAGTAATATAAACGATGCATAACCTAAAGTTCAGTGGCACCCGTTGTAGTTTATCCTATTTTTATTTTTAATATTGTGGTTATTATAACTATATTACGAGATCAACTATTTCCAGATTAAGTTCTGACGTGTATGATCCACGTGTTGATCTTACTTTAGTTATCTTCTATGTAGTTATAGCTATATTACAAGGTCAACTATTTCAATATTAGCTTCTGACATGTATGATTTGTATATTGATTTTATTTTAATTACTTAATATCTGATTGTTATAATTAAATTCAAAAGCTAGCCCTTTGTTTCGTTTGATCAGTTGACTTTAATATTTTAACATCCCGGCGAAAATATCAACTTATTTTTTAATCATTTATTTAATTAAAAATAAAGTTTAGTTTGGGTTTTAGTTAAGAGTTATTTTTTTACTTTTGTTTGTTTTAAATTATAAAACCAAATTTTGTTATTATTATTATTTAAAATCAGATGCTAATTTAAAGTATTAGCAGGTTAGCTTGTATATGTTACTTTATAAACATGGCGTTTATAAAGAACCGGCAGACAACAATAGAGTATACTTTATAACATAATTCATTTTTAAAAATAAATTACACAATTGAAATAACAAATAAAACCCCAATAGAGTATACTTTATACCGTAATTCATTTTTAAAAACGATGATTAAAAAGCATTAATAGAATCCATATATATACATACATAATCAATAAACTTAATTTTCATGACATTTTAGTTTTACTGTTTTGTTTGAGGGTCACATTTTTCTAACCAAATTATTATGAGTCCTAATCATTTAAGAGATAGATCATTTCGATCTGGATTATTTGAATTTAGTTTAGTTTTGAGTTCAAGACAATCTATATTTGAATTTCACAAATAATTCCAATTAGTAGTATCTGATTTAAAATTTTGAATAAAAGTTGGTGAGTTTTCTTGATCATGAATAGATTCCCAAGGGAATCGGCCAAGTGTTGAAAATATCGTGTCTGATGCGATGGAACCTTTAGCTGCTGATTTCCGGTTCCATACCAATCATTTTGTCCGAAAGTGCTTAAATCTTCATCGGTTTGATTGTTAAGATACACCTCCGTGGATATCGCAGGATCAACCTTGCTTGGAGCAGACATCGCCTTGTCTTAGTTCTATATTTCAGAGTACCTTATGCTATTGGTTTGCAGCCAAGAAGATGACAAAAGTTGTTATAACTATATTTCTCACATGTTGGTTTACTTTAATTATTTGATATGTGGTTGTTGTAACCAATTTGCTCTTTTTAAAATATAAAATGTTCTGTAAATATTTCCTTTCGTCTTAGGTACGTCAGACCAGCTCATTGTTTAATTACCATTAACCTCCCATGTGAACTCTTCAATTGTTTCTAATTATTTAATGATAATAAAGTTTAGTTTTAATTTTCGTAAAGAGTTATTTTCATTAAATTGTAAAAATTATATTTGTTATGGTTATTTAAAAAAATTACATTCTTGCAGAGCAAAATAACGTTTATTCATAAAGGGTGAGGTTGACCACAACGACAACTTCATCATGTTTATAATCATACGCCAAGCTTCCATACACAGTGTCGAAATTGTCCTTCGAATACCCGGGATCGAATCTTGACTTAATGTGTGTGATATAGTCACCACCGACATTTTGAGAGTGATATGTCGGATACTTAAAAGCTATCTTTTTACCGGATCTATGGCTCACAAGAGATTCACTTGAAATGGTTCGGAAGTCAGTTACATGTGAAGAAGGATGAGCACTCCCACAACATCCATAATCGGTACCATCACAGTTATACATAGTCCTAATAGCGTAAGTAATAATTCAAGCCAAAATTTAAAATAAAAATCCATTTACTTAATTTTGAAAGTTTATAAAATACAATAAGGGAAATTTAAATAAAGAAAATATGATATTGAATTAATTCTACTATGTAAAAAAATAAATAAAGGGCCACACTACCAAATATAAAGAAATGTTAAAATAATGCATAATGTAACACCCCAGACTGATACGGATGACTCGATCCAATCATAGGTGGCACATTAAGGTCACTGTAGCAACCCACAATAAAAATCCATGAAAAACTTAGAACTATAAAACAATTTAGAAATAAAAACACATATACAGAAAGATCCATTCATCTATTAAAACAAATTAAAATCATACAAGTTTCAGACTCAGTGAAATCAAATGTGACCAACATGCCCCTAATTATACATGCACAGTACTCTCAAGAAGCACCGAAGGAACTTCCATACTGATGTCGATAATCGCATAGGATCGATCTTAAACCTGAAGTGGTAAATAACAAAGTGAGCTTTGGGAAGCTCAATAATACAATACTACCAGATGAATGCTAGAGGATAAGCAATTATATGGTACATCATAAAATTTTCCTTAATGATCCAAGCATCTACAAGTTTTTCGTGATGAACTGAGGTTCCACTGATATTTTCTGGTAATAGACAGGGAGTTTATAGTTCAGAGAAAACATTCAGAGGGACATATTTAGGAGATCGAAATAGGATGTCTACTATGTTCCCCTAAAACCAGAAATCAATGTAAACATAGTTTAAATATAGTAGTATTTTATTCCAGTAAAACAGAATTTTAAAATCACAGTAATACCCTTCGCCCGAACACCGATATGCAGTTCCCCATAACTACATCCATAATGACTTACCCTAGGCCGATTGGGCATTGGAGTCAACCTAAGGGAGTACCTTGGAGCTTAAGAGCCTACACAAGGGAACATCTCGAGGCCTAAGAGCCTGCACAAGGGTCACCATAGGCCTGTAAGGATTTATAAACTTGATCAGAACTGAACCTCCATACTCCATAATCCTAACCGGATGATATCCCAGTAAAAAACAAGTTGAGCAGTAAACTATAATATCAAAATCATGAGCCAGTACAACATTGTAAAAGTGACAATGAATTTTATTTAAATCACATAACTCCCCTCCACCCGTACACCAAAATATAGTACCTTAGAGCCTACCTAAGGTAGCACCTCGGGCTTAAGAGCATACTAAAGGGTCACCTTAGGTTCGTAAGGATTTACCAGCTTAATCAAAGTTGAACTTCCATAATCCATATCCTACCCAAAAGTATCCTAATAAAATAGTTCATGTAGTAATTAGTATTTTCATGATCCTTAAACCAGACATACATTTTCCAGTAAAACAGGTAATCATAGAGCACATATCGGTAGCCATATTATCACGGTAAATAGATAAATAAAAAAATCAATCAGTTAAAATATTCATAAATCAACCAAATAACAAATAATATTCTATAACAGATTAAATAGTCATATAGCATACAAGGAGCACACTAGAGGATCCATATATTTTTCAGAGGGACTTCATAATTATCAGGAAGGGAAAACATAAAACTTTTATAGATTGGTCGGATTCCAGTTTACTAATGGATCTAATCAACATTTAGGAAATAATGCTTTAGGATAATTTAAATTTCGGATGCATTTGGAAGGCATTTAAGAACCTTTACATCATAATTATTTAAGATTCAAATATAACAAGCATGATTCCATCATTCAGGCTATCAGGGTTATGTTAGATATTTTGATTATTGGAGGATTCTTAGTAACTTAATCCAATAAGGGTAAACAATGGTTTACAAAATTCAAGATTTATGCCAATTTATCAGGATATCGTTTCAACTCGAACTGAACAAATTCTAACATTGCGATAACTGTCAATCATTTGGACCGAGATACTTTATGAATATTTACTTTTTAATATTGAATGCACTAATTGAACTAATAATCTTCAGAGTCATTGTTGAACGAATCTTGAGCAATTAAACTAGTGTTTCAGTGGTATTTATTATTATTCTATATCACAATAATATCCAGAGTGATTGACGTGCTTGGGTCTTTTCCATAACCTTTAAGGGCCGTTACATTATTTAATGCTTCACTGTACTTTTAGAACTTGACCACGAACATTTCCTTAATCTATATCATGAGTGTATTTGGGACATTTTAGTACTCAGGGTTATTCAGGTCAATTTGAAGTTCATGTTATTTTGGCCAGTTTGGGTTTAGAGGTAATTTGGTCATTTAATTACTAGAGATTTATTTAGT